CAAACCTGTATTAAATTAAAAACTATTTTAGTTAAAAACAAGATTTAATCTTTATAAATTTATGTTTAACTTTAAGTTTGCAAACTTATCAAATTATTAAACTTCTTAACTTCATCTTATATCTCATCTATATCTCACCTTTTCTTCTTATCTTGCTTTCATTTCAATCTTTACTTTTATTTTAATCTTTACTTTTATTTCAATCTTTAATTTCACTTTAATCTTTGCTTTAATTACACTGTCTTATCTCCCCTATTACACTACTTTATCTACATATATGTTATTAATAGTTAACTTTAATAAAACCGGAAAATATATTGAAAGTAGTGCAAATTTTTAAATTTGAATAAAGAGAAAGAACTGTAACTGTTATTAATTTAAAATAGAGTAAAATATAATAATTTACACGCTCAAAATCCACTAAAGCTAATCAAACTACTGAATGCCATTCTTTATAGATATAAATAATAATCAACTTTTAAAATTTCCTAGATATAAATGGTGTTTGGAATACGTCATTGTTAACATTCGATTTGTAAGCAAAAAACATATGACTTCCTTAAATTAGGGCAGTGTGAACACTTTTGAAATTAACTTAATTTCATTTTTACGAAATTAAGGAAATTTGGGTGTCAAAGCAACTGTGTCGAAGCAATATTTTAGGTAATAGTCGATTGTTTTTTTTTGCTTTAAAAGAATGTGTCTATATTTCTTCATGAGGGCTTATAAGCAAACTTAGGAAGATCGTCGGGTTTAAGCATTGAAATGTAAATTTGTAAGCAGTATATGTGTGTACAATCTGTAAGTGTAAATAATATTATTTGTTTTGCTGATAAGGTTAGCCTACATTTGTTTTTGTGAGCGATAATGTGCATTTTATTATGTTTAGTTGATTGCACCTTAAGTAATAAATAATTTAATAAATTAATTAAATAAATAAATGAATGCTTATTACTCAGCTTTTATTCATAATTTTTTTTTTAAATATTTGCAACAAATACATTTTTGTACAAAATTGAAATTAAAAATGTATTACTTGACAATTCCAATAAAAATTAATTATTAAAAATATGATTTGTATTCAGAAATATAAACATAACATATATACACAGCAGAAAAAGTCTACGTTCACCCACAAAATTTTTCTTAAATTTCGCATAACTTTTTTAATTTTTACTGAAATTAATTTTTGTTTTCTGATTTATTTTAACCAAAGAAACAACAGTAAAGTTCTAATACATAAAAATAACAGTTATTCTTTAAAAATAATTAAACACAATTTTATGCAATTTTTGAAGAAGAAAAAGTCTGCGGACACTTCTTAATATTTACATTACATTACATTAAAATTCACAGAAATCTTAGATTTAATAGCCTGTGGTATAACCTCTGTATTTAATAACCTCTCTTAAGCATCTTTGCATGAAACCTTTGCGTTTATTTTTGCTATTCTTCCTTGATGAGGTTTCTTAATATATTCTTGCTGAAAATCATGTGCTGGTGAATCTTATTTTTTAAATAAGCCTACTGATGTTCTATAGGAGTAAGGTCTGGTGATTTTGGTAGTGTTTAAGTTGTCTGAGAGCATGGTTCAGCAGCCAAATCCGTACGATCGCTGCTGTATGCTTAAAGTCGTTTTCCTGCTGAAACAAAAAGTTTGCCTCAAGCCCTTACTTTCTGTCATTTTCTTTCAAATTTGTTTTTGGAATATTTATATACTCATATTTGTCCATTGTATGTTGAATCAATTCATGTTTACCGGCGCCATTACTTGCTATACACCTCCAAACCATTACGCCTCCACCACCATGTTTCACCGTTGAAATCAATTTTAGTTTATCATAGGCTATAAATGATTTTCTCCAAACCTTTGATTCGAAATATGCAAAATTAACTCTCATTGGAGAAAAGAACTCATTTTCAGAACTCTATAGCTCTATTTACATGCTTTCTTGCAAAGCTTAATCATTTTACTCTATTACATTTGGATATGTATGGCATCTTTCCTGCAACCAGGGTATAATACATGAATTTCTTCAAAATTTTCCGCATAGCATCAGCACATATTTTGTGTTCAAGTATTTCGGCAATATGTTCAGCTAGTTTGGAGGCTGCTACTCTTGGATTTGCTTTCACCTGGTTGATTATGCTATGTGTTTCGCTACCTGACAGAATTAAGGAGCGCCCAGTGCAAGGTTTAGAAATATAATTACCCGTTTCCAGAAAGTTATTTATAATTCTTTGCACAGATGAATATCTTTAGCAAGTTTTAATTGGTTGACGTCACCTTTCCAAAATTTAACAAATATTTGTCGTTCACTAACATTAATTTCACGTCTTTTATTTTCCATTGTAAAAACTTACTGTTAATATAAAAAAATATTTTTTAATAACTAATTCTTAGACTCTTTAAGAAGTCAAGCGAATTTAAATTAACGGTAAATGTAAATATTAAGAAATATATAGACTTTTTCTGCTAAGTATGTATGTTTTTATTGCAAATTTGTGCATATATTTTATCTAATATGAAACCACTTCTTATTAATTTGAATTTTTAATGACTTTTTATAATTATTTTGAATATATTATTTTAAATAAGATGTGTTTTGTGACGTCTGTCGCAATTTTTAAAACCAAAAAAAATTGAAAATTGAAAGTTTATATTAAAATGATATAGACTTTTAGAATATATATTAGGTATTTAAAATTTATTCATACAGAATTTGATTTTTTTAAAAAATTTAAAGCCTCTGAAATGAATAGTAAAACGATTGAGGGTAATAAGTGTTGTTTATCTCATAGTAAGAGATCCAAAAGAAATTTTCCCGATTTAAAACTATTTAAATTTCCTTTTTCAAACTATGATTCGCCTATTCTTCAGGAGTGGGTAGATAAGTCTCATTGTATTGGTGTATTAACCATTATTCTGCAGTAATTATTGGAAAAAAGAATCCTAAACATGGAGCTGTCCGATCGTTATGCCTACATCGGTGATGAACGGAAAACTGAAGATAATATCGAACAATTTAATTCTAGAATCTCCAATTCGAAAAACGGATGAGATCAAAATCTCCTCCCTGTTTGTGTGGCAGTTTTTTTCAAAATTTTAGGAACGTCAGATTTTAGCAAAATAAGAATCTTTTATTGCGGAAAAAACTATTTAAAAAATCTGAATTAAATCTTCGTTTAAAACGAGGAAATAAGACTTTGAAGAAATTGGTAATTAAGTTTAAAAGGCAATTAAAATCAAATCTCTAAAATGCTGAATAAACCTAATCGATGAGCTATAGCTGTCTGGAATCTGAATGAACGGTATATTGCCAAAATTATTTATTATAAGTCCACTGCTATATATTTATATATGAAACACACGTTAAACTTTAATTTTCTCATTCCTTCATTCTTTAGGAGATGGAATGAAAAAAAAAATTACAGTCCGGACATTATATTTGTATATATAGAGGGATTGAATGGACTCAATCGAAAAGGAATGCATTTTAATATTTTGAGAAAATTGCTATAAAAAAAATTTGACTTACAATACCTCTGCAGGCGTAATTTTTGGGCTAGTTGATTTAAGAAATAAATGGACAGATCAGTAAGGTATGCATATTTGCGTTTTTATATTGCTCATAAAAAATTGGAAATTCGTTCTGAATTATATTGTAAGGAATAATTCAATCAAAGGATTATTAGAGAATAATTTAGATTGTGCAGCGCAATTGGGATTGAAAGTACGTGCAATAACATGTGATCAAGATCTAAATAATCGGAGTTGCTATAAGTTATTGAATGCTTCAGTGGAAAGATTATACTTTATTCATAACATATAGCAAAAATCTATATTTTATATGAAAAACCACATTTAATAAAGAAAAGAAATTCATTAATAAAATTAGATTTTGAAATAGCTGACGACAAAATTAAATTTGATGTCATAAGAGAATAGTTTGAGTTAGAAAAGGGAAATGTGACGAAAATGATAAAATTGACAATAGCTCATATTGCAACTACTAATTTAAAAAAAAATGCGAGTAAGGCTGGCTGTTCAAACTTTGAGTCATACTGTTGCATCGGCAATTAAGTCTACAACCATAAATAAACAATTCCATAGAAATGATGTCACAGTCGCAGCCAATATGTCAGCATTTTTGATCTCATTGACAACTGCTTTGATGTCCTCAACAGTAAAACATTTAATGATCCCAAGCCTTTGAAACGTGGGTTAAGATTCGAAATTTGTGTTTGGAAAAAGATTTTGGATTGAATAGATTATATTAAAGACCTTCAATATAAAGCAAAATATTTTATGTTAACGGATTAAATCAAACGACAAATGGCATATAAATATTTTTGTTTTTCTGAGTAGCCTCTTCAACCAATATCCATTAGAATAGAAATTTTCATATATACGATGGTCGTGACAAAAATCCGTCGGTGTACGATTTTAACATAATTGTGGCAAAGCTATTGTCTTTGAAATTGTATCAGTTCAACTCACAATGAAATTGATACTTTTACTTTAACAGAAATAAAATATTCTAGAATATTGCTTGAAAATATTCCCAGTTTACATTCCATAACAGCGAACACTTCAGAGAACATTTGTGGGGACAATGAAGCATACTTCGATGAAGAAGCGGTCTCCTTCAATTCAGATAGAATTCCTATAACTTCTACATAGCTTAACAAAATGCAAAAACTCAGATTTGGAGATATAAATAAATTCGTGTTGTGTTTTTATACCACACTCGATGAAACCGAATGTAGCGTGCAATCAATTCAAGTTCTAAATTATTTTGTATTTTATTAGAATTCATATATTTACGTCAATAATGTTGAAATATTACTCATATTTATGTTCATTAGTATACTATCATTAAAGTGACCTTCTCGAATCTCATCTTCTCATTAAATATGTAAATGCAAAATCTTAAATCGTTATCATTTTCGTAAGCTTCTAAATTTCTACTGAGTTTCAAAAATATAGTTCAGTTCGGTCGGTATTGGAAGAAAGTCCAAAAGTTCTTCAAAGTAAAAAATGAAGCTTTTATATTTTCTATTAGCTTTGAATATATTGAGTGCAGTTAGGAGTGCAAGTATATCAACAGAAAATGTGAATGGTGTGTTGATGAGAAAAAATGAAAACAATTTATTGACGATGGAAAATGATAATAATCAGGGACCGTAACAGTTATCATAAAAAATATAAAAATCACCTTTTAACTTTTATCATTCGCATTTTTAAAATAAAACTCAAAAAATAATAATTATTTTTGCAAAATTATTTTATGTGCCTTTTATTTTTTTCGCGCAGAAGAATTTTGTATGAATTTAGAAAAACAACTACCTTGTATGAAAATTGCATTTTATATTTTCGTTTTAAATATATTCGGCAGAAATTGCCAGTTTTATTAATATTTTATACTTATAATGCAAAAGTAACAATTATATGTGCGTTTTAAAAAAAAAAGCAAAATTTTAATAGTTACTTCTGCGCGAAAAAAATAAAAGGCACATATAATAATTATACATAAGGAATATAATATAAAGCAAATTTAATTATTGTTTTTTGAGTTTTATTTTAAAATACTTATATATAAAAAGCATGCATAATACTAAAGATAAAAGTTATTAGAATGATAACTATATACTTAAATATGAGTTTAGACAACTTTTTGTTGTTGAGTTTTTTATTAAAAATTTTGAAATAACTGTAATTTTCGGTCCCTGCTAATAATATATATATATGAATAATAATGAAAATAAAATAGATTCCAGTACGTTCCTTTATTTCGGATATGGCAGTAATCTTCTAACCAAACGAATTCACATACGAAATCCAACAGCAGTCAAAATAGGTGCGGGAAGATTAGAGGTGAGGGAAAAAAATGATTATTTGATTTAAAATAATAGTTATTAATAAGAAAATCAATAAATTAAGTTAACATATTACTAAAATTAATCAATTTTCATTAAAAAGATAAGAATAATATCAATAAGAAAATAATTTCGTAAATAAGAAAAGATAAATTAGTGTGAATATGAATTATCTATAAATTATCTTATCTAAATTTTTAGTAAAGAAATTAATTTTGGATCATCATTTTACATATAAAATATGCATAAAGGAATGTCTCTTATACAGGGTTATCCATTTAGTGGCCCCCAAAGTAACCATAAGTGAAACATTTATGAGATTTGAATCAAATTTTTTATTGTCTGGATGTTATTTGCATTTTATCTAGATCAATAACCATCCTGGCCGTATTCACAACTTAACTGACGTTCTATTATGATTATCTACAGTTATTACTAAGAAAAAAAATATACTAGCCAAATTTCTTTACAGAACTACCGTTTAGACTTTAACAGCTACGCAGACAATTGGGATGGTGCACCAGCAACTATTGTTCCAACAGAAAACTCCACCGTATATGGCACACTTTGGGAAATCGATATCTCCAACTTGGCTGATATTGATGAGTAAGTACTTTATAACCAGTTTAATTAAATCGAATAACTGAATCTCTCTTTAATTGTTTTTTTAGCCAAGAAGGAGTATCAGAAGGAGAATATGAACCGGTCAATATATCAGTTTTTTTAAATAATGATACAGTAGTGAATGCGCGTTCCTATGTTTTAGTTAAGCAACCTGAAATACCACTGAAAATGTTGAATATGTCGAATATTCCTTTCGAACGACAACCATCGAAGACATACTTACAATGTTTAGTTAAAGGCGCCATTGAGTCTGAGCTTCCAGATGAATATATACGTTGGTTGAGAACTATCAAACACAATGGAAAAGTGGCTAAGGCTTTGGAAGATCTTTTAAAACTGAGTGATATAGAATTGTCAACATAACTGCATTTATACAGTAATTGCTTTGTAACTTTATCACCGAAATCATATTTGTTTCTAGTAATATTTGTTACCAAATAGAAGGATATAAATAATATTTTTTTTTTATTTTATAAATTCAATTATAATAAATCGAATAATATTATAATGAAACATGAGCTAATAATATACGTTCAAAGTATGCAGTAAAAGCTTTATGCTTTCATACTCGAATATCACTATTAGCATTTCTGTGTAAATCAACAGTTGTCTAATAATAAAGAAAACTACTTAAGAATATAAGTATCAAAATATATATAGATATAGATATATAGATTTACTCATTTGTAACTGCGCTTCATATATTTATAAAATGTAGCAATTTTTACAATTGAGCATTAAAAATAGATATCATAAAAAGTATTCGAGATTCAAATCATTGCAAAGAAAGTCCAAAATTACGGCTCAAATACACATAACTCCACTTAGATCAATTCTTCTACAAGTCAGAATTTGATGTGTGTTTGTTTTTGTTCATTTAACTTCTTGAATATTGACATTTTTGTTAAATTTTCTTTATGTTTTATAAAAAAAACTAAATATTTTTCAAATCTTAAAAAATGTTGCTTGCACGAAATAAGTTGTGAGCCACTGCAGATTCTACCCTATCCCTTTTAGTTATGACAGTCGGTTTCAGTCTATCTTCCCTAAAACTACCTATGACTTACGGTGTGACTCAAATCTATTAATTACAACTCCCTTATTTCCGACCTATTTCGCCATACGTTGTCAGTATATTTATTGTCTATTTAAGGTCAAACTTCACTAGTACCCCTTTTGAGCAAATTTACTACCTAAATATATATCCCAGTTGAATTATGATTAGGAGAAACATTTTTTTTTTCTGCAATAAAAAAAAAGAGGTGCAATCACATAATTTAATTTGAATAAATTTTTCTTTATTTCAATATTTTCTATGCATATAACACAAAAATGTATAAGTTCTACACCAAAAAAAAAAATTATTTCTTAATACAGTAATGTTTCTATGTAGCAAAAATATTATAAATATAACAAAAGAGAAAGGAAAAGAAAAAAGTATCGCTTGCCTAGTCAGGCACTTACCACAACTGCCTAAATGACGCTGTTGGTGTACCTAATAAAATTTAAACAAAAATTACCTGCAAGCAAGAAAAATAATAATTCTAATAATTAGAAGAGCCTTAAGGCTCAGTTAGTCGGTACGTACCGTAAGAACTTAAGTCAAAGCGAAATACACAACCAACCACACCTCTACATTTACTAGGAATGGAATAAACAAAAACGGCGAACATTGCTTATTTTGTTACTATCAAATACACAAGTGTCGTTGAGTGTACATTTCGCTTTGGCTTAAGTTCGCTTAAATTCTTACGGTACGCACTGACTACCTGAGCCTTTGATATAGTTTTTAATAACAGATGAAATCTCTACTTTCTGTTGAGTTAGATTAGATTGAATTAGCACCGTCGTATCTCGCTTAAAAAAAAAATGAATCCCTCATTCAAGTGAAACTAATCTGATGAGTCTATAAAATTATCTAATCTCCTAAGATTCAAAACATTTGTAATACATACTGTTATAAATTTCTCTTACAGTTGTCGAATATTTCCAAGAAATATAAAAGAAATAAACGTAGGACCGTAGCCTCTGAGAATTTCTGTAAATCAGACAGCTGCAGTTTCCTACTGAATCCAAAATCTTTGAATCCGTTATAGATCTTTTTAAATAGGTAGCTGTATTGATTGGGTACCCATAACAGTGTGGATAATTCCTTATTAAAATTTCTTTATTGAAATGGAATGGTAATGAATATCTTCGCTGTATTACAACAGATCTATGTTAAGTCCCAAAGGTCTAATACAATAAAACCGTTTATGATTATATTAAAATATTAAGTGCAGTAAGGAATGCAAATATATAAATTAATTTCATGATGAGCTATCGCTTATGATTAACTTTTCATACATTATCCATTTTACAATTTTTATTAAAATTCTTTTAAAATCATTTCATGACCCAAGTGTTTTTTTTTCGATCTTTACATATTATTATGAAGGCACGGGTTTTTTCCATAAATTAAAGTATTTCAAATATAAACAATAGTCTACATTAGACATTAAGAAATTTCATTAACACGGATTTTTTCACATACAAAAGAAAAGGCGTTCACGGATAATTTAAATAAAAGCGATAGACAAGGTTATGTTATCAAAAAAGGGACTATTTACCTGTTAGAAAAACCCAAGCTAATTAAGGAATAACATTTTCAAACTGTTTAGTATGTAAGATTTAGTATTTAAGAAACGAAAATATACAAAATAAAATTAGTTGAATATTTTGTGTATAAGCATAAGGTTGATTTTTACTAACGAATTTAGTATTACTTTAACAACAGGAAAAAAAACGGGTGCGGAACATCGGTCGAAATTTAAAAATAACTAATATTAAAGAAGCAGAATTTTAAATCGTGAAAGAAAAATTTCAAATAAAAAAAATGGAACAGGCATTTTCTTTAGGAATGGCAACACCGGCTGAACTCGATGTAAACTATCAAGGACAGGTAACAGACTTACAAAAACAAATAAATTTTTACGGAAGTAGGATACAGGATGCAGAAAATTATTTACAAATGACCAAACAAAAACTGTTAAAAGTGCAACAAGAGTTAAATAATGTAGAACATAATTCAGAAGATGAAATAGAAATAGAAGCATGTCAAAAGCCAAATTTCATGTCCAGGGAACTGGAAGAATATCGACTTTCCACAGATAAACTCTCAATGGAAGTGCAATTACTCACTGACAAAATTTCTGCTATGGGTAAACAGATCGAAACTCATGAAGAGAAATCAATTTTATATGATAGTTTAAAATTGCAACATGAGAAAGATTTAAATGAACTTGATTTAGCAAAATCAGAAATACGGAATTTGGAAAATCAAATAGTAGATTTGAAAAAATTATCAAAGAATAACTATTCGAGTTCGAATAACTATTCGAGTTGGAATAACTATTGGAGTTCGAATAACCATTGGAGTTGGAATAACCATTCGAGTTGGAATAACCATTGGAGTTCGTATACCCATTCGAAGTTGGAACATGAAGTTCAGTTTTTGCGTAGTGTAAATAAAGACTTGAAGTATAATACGCAACAGGAAATATTTTTTTTGAAATCGCGACTTAGAATGATAGTTGAAGAATGTTCTGAATACAATGAAAAAAATGTTAAATTAAAACGTGAAATTGCAGAATGGATGAAATTAGCTCAAGATAACTGTCCCACTAATGTGAGACCTAATCCTTTAGCATTACATGCTGAAATTGAGAGACTATTAGAAAATAGTAAAAAAATGGTAGCAGAGAAAAACGTAAAAGAATCAGAAATGAAATCTATTAACTCCGATTTGGTTGAATCTAAAAATAAATGCGATGAATATGCTAAGAATATTAAGGAACTAAAGGAACATATAAAGGAATTAATGATAGGACTTCAAGCATTTTTCAAGGCAATGTGAAACAAACAGAAGAAGAAAAACAAATTAAAAAGACAATCGACTCGGTCAAGTTACAGAAACCAACCTATCAGGAAATCATACTAGTTGTCAAGGAACTCAAATAAAAATACCAACACGTGCTTCTTTAATAATAAAAGATTTCATTTAAATAAGTTATATATTTTAAGTTATAAGTTATATATGTTAAGTTATATATTTTTCAATAAAAAGCTTTAATTAATTTTAATTTAAAATTGTTTTATTTAACTAATCGATTTGTATGGTTTTCTTTTTGATTTTAATATATAGCTTTGGTCTGACAAATTATATATATAAACCATTAGTGATGTTGATGAAAGGAATAATTTGATAAATTTTTTAAGTTCTTTCTCTGAGAAATACACGTTTTTTTAAAGTTGTTTCTATATAAACTTTGTTTAAAGACTGAAATGTTCAAACTATACCTATGACAAAAAATAATAATAACTTCTTTCCAGAAAAAAATAAAAATAAACCTAATTCCAAGTTTATTTATTTCGGTTGTAGCAGTGATTCTCTCTAATCGAATTCAATTACAAAATCTAACAGCGGTCAACTTAATTATCAACCTCAAAACGTTAGTCCAAACGTCTGAAATGCCAAATCAGTACTCCGAAATGGATAACTCTTTATATGTTTGTGAATTAAATTAATTTTAAAATTGACTTTATCGAATAGTATTCTCTGTGAATGTATAATATAGTAATATAATAATTCCTTTGAATAATTACAAATAATAATAAAGTCATCAATTAAATTCTCTTAACTTTACTCCTTCAACAAATATTGTGTGGAATATAAAAATATCACCCGTTTTTGTAGCACCTAAAGTCTTTATAAATAAGACATTTTGTGGTAATACCAGTGTGGAGTCCGGATAGAGAATAGTATAATGGAATGGTTTTTTTTGTCATTACTCAGGCAATGGTAAAAATATTTAATTTAAACTAAAACTGCTCTGATTATTTATAAACCTATGAGCAGGTCTTGACAAAATTGATGGAACAATAATACATAATAAGATTATATATGGAACCTGATTCTTTTGAAATCAATTCAAGCGTTGGTAAGAAGATTTTTTATCTGTTGAAATATTTAATAATGTATTAAAATGAGAAGATGACATAAAAACAAACCATTAAATGGACCTGTTACATTATGTGGATATGCTGATGACCTATATCTAATAGGAACCAGTAATCACATCGTGCGCTACACTTCTGAAATTCTATATAAAACTAACGATGTTGGAAGAAGTGAACACATATAAAACAAAACGATATGACTAACATTGTTGGATTGGTAAAGTATAAACCCGATGGTACCTGATTATATCAATATCTGTCAGAGTAATGCATATAGAAATGTAATTTGTTACGCTAATACGAGACAATACTTTCACGACCAAAGTATTGTCCGCGATTCTTTCGCGATTAAATTATAATGAAAATTGTTTGCTGGGAACGTATCAAAGACAGGTTAAACACCTGCAAAAGCAAACAAAAGATAAAAAAGAAAAGATTACATTTATATTGATTTTACTTTTCAACTGTAAATGGCTTCCATTTATGTAGAAATATATGTTTACACATGAGAATTATATAGAATATAGAATTATATAGAATAAGTTGTATGAATGCATTAGAGTTAGAGTTCTACTACTTATACAAATTTTCTTTGAAAATATATCTTCACTTAATGGCTCATTGAACACAAACCAGCCATAGGAATAGATTACTGCACTATTACCGGATAGAACAAACCTATTTGTTTTGTCATAGATGGGTTTGCAGGCGTATTGTTTGGGTACCCATAAATAGATATGGCCATGGCAGAATTAGACCACTAATAAAATATTGAATAATTTAATAACCGTGCGGCTAAAATGTTATTAAATTTTGTTTGTTGAAATGGAACTGAACTGCTGACTGAAGACGCATAATGACTATCTTAATTGTATTATAACAGATCTAGGTCTCAATACTTTTTACAATCTTGCGATCAATAAAATAAAATCGTTTATGATTATAAATTATCTTTCAAGGGAAGCAATAGCTGAACATGTAATAAATTGACCAAAACCATTCACATTAAAATTAAATCGATTATTGAATTATGATTGGTTTCTATATATGTAGCGTTATTTGTAAAGTACATGAGAATTATAAAAGTGTGAATTGTAACAGTGCATGAGTGTTAGAACCACTTTTAAATTTTTTTTCGATATACTTAATACGTTTTAATTCTTGTTGTATTAAATACATTTGAAATTCGTATCTAGTTTAACAGATTTTGTGTTTTGTTATATTAAATTTTTCAGGTTTTAAGTAAAAAAATTTATTTTATTATTAGTATTTTTTTGTTCGTAAGTTGCAGATTTCTAAAAAGCATATATTTCTATATTAAGTGTCATAAATACCGTTGGTGATACCGTTGTTTTAAAATGCGATTTTTGTGTGGAACGATGATATTTCCCAAAATAGTTCTTAAAGAAAATCAAATGTAATCGATAATTCCTAAATTGATTTAAGTATAATGACCAATATGCGTCAAATCTAAATATTATGTTATGATGATACAGTTAATAAATCAATACCTGAGTAAAATTTAGCGAATTAAAAACTGATATACGATTTAGTTATTTTAAAAAAGCGCTTCTAAAAGAATGAAGTCTTTTTGAATGAAAGAATTTCTGGGTTGACTTTACTTTGACCCACTTCAGCTCTGTAATGTTAGGGCCTATATGTCGCTTTTATAGCAATTTCTTTGTTTTCGGATCAAAAATTCAGTCTCAGTAATCATGCCAATTTGTTAGATTATGCCCAGTATACCTAAGTAACATCATATTATTCTGGCTCTTGAATAACTGTAGCTTTGACTCTCCTCGTCAAAGCTACAGTGTTGCCAGATAGATTAACATTGTATAATTAAACCAGTGGACATGGGATAATATGTTATATAAAATAAGGTGATTGTTTTTGATTGTTAAATTATTTAATTTGTGAAATTCAAACCAACAGAATATTTTTCTGCTGAATTTAGCCACCAATCCATGTCGGTGTCACATACTCTGGATCATTTGTTTTTGCTTCTTTAGTGATTATTTGCAAATATCTTTTTTTTTGGTTTTTTCTTTGCCATAGCAAGTTTATATCTGTCTTAATTATTGAAGACACTAAGTATAATTTGAAATTCAATTCAGTTAAGGAAAAGTTTGTTGATTATTTGTTCAGCAACAGGGAGACAATGAAGCACCAACAGAGTGTGATGGTTGCGGCCCTGTCCCAATTTGGGGAAACGGACACTAAGAAGAAGAAAAGTGATATTTTCTTCTTTTAGGTTTGATTTATTCGTCGATTGTTAGAATTTGAAGATCATTGTATATATTTGTGTTGCTTACGTACCATTCTGCGTTTACTATTTGTGTGAGGATGTTAGACTTGTTCCGTTGAATGATGTTTGCATTCAAATTTTTTGATGTTCTCCATATTTGTGACCCGTGGGTCCATATTAGTTTAATTATCATTTTATATAGTATAATTTCATTATTTAAGCAAAGTTTAGATCTTTTATTCAGTAGCCAATACAATTGCCTTTGTATTTCTTTAATTTTTAACTCGTGACTGTTAAAGCTATGTGTGCTATATTATAGGTCACAGATAACACGTCCTTCCCTGTTCACTGGTAAAGTGTCGAGGGATCGGAAACGTTAGGTTACTATTTGAAACCACTTACACTTTCCGACACTATAGTATATAGACACACGTGACTGTTAAAGCTACGTGTGTTATACTTCGTGCAACCTAGATTCAATCACTGTTAAAGCCCTCAGTCACTGTTTCCTTTCAATTTTCCTTCAGGGATTAATGTTAAAATTTTTATGTTTTATATATATATATAATAAATATTTAATTTTCAAATTTCGAGTTTTCTTTCCAAGAAGAATTCGTAGGCAAATATTAATATTAAAAATTAAAGTTTCATAAGTAACTTGTTAAACTTAATAACACAAACAGTTACATTAATAAGTTATCAAACTCTTATTCAGATTTCATTTGTATTTAAAACAAAGAATATTTAAAATTTCTTTTAAATTTTTATACAAGGGTTCATGTTAAATTTTTCAGTTTCATTTACCATATACACAATAATTACTAAATTTTCAAATTTTACACGTTTTATTTCCATTGTTTTAAATAAAATACTTAAAGTTTTTACAGATTTTCATACAGGGATTAATGTTTAAATTTTGAGTTTAATATAAACAATAGTCAATTCCTTTTTAAATTTTATACACGCTTTATTTTTATTAAACAAAAAATAATATTTCAGGGTTTTCTTTTAAAACAAATTATATACGATGATTAATACTAAAATTACTTAGTCTTCGCTTTTATTTAATTTAAATTTCACCTAATTTACATCAAGTACCTTCCAGTCGATATTTTCCAAAACTATTTCAAGAGAGCTTCTTCCTGGTGCACGCACTTCTTATACCGTAAACGATCAACGGTGCCAGCTGTAAATGCGTTAAGGTTCAATGACCGTTGATCGAAGCTCGTTATCGATCCCTCTGCAATGCACCAGCGAAAGTTCAGCTTTAGTGCGAATTTCGTTTTTTACTCATGTGGAAGCTGGATGCTGTTCTTTATATAAGCTTTGCTCTAGTTCCACAAAAGCTTTCTTTGCAAAAAAGCTTTCTTAGTTTGACAGTTCGTTCTGTTGGTTTGTTTTGATCTTATTTGTTTTTTACAATGTGCTGTGCCGGTCAACGTGTTTCTATTAAGTGAAAAATTATAAACACTCAACGATGGCTCAAGGTATGTCCATTATTGTTTTATTCAAATATATTTGTTTACGCATTAACCAATAATTTTCATGCAATTTCAGGATTTCGCAAGTGTGAAAGTTCTATTGCTGGCGGCAGTGGACTTCGGTCAGTTTGTAAAATTAATGTTTTTTATATTCATTAACAGATTCTG